AAGAATGTGATCTGGATAATTTCCTCAATGTTTAAGCCAAATAGATCTGTATTAGTTTTCTAGAGGATTGTCATAACAAATTACTACAAACTGGTAGCTGAAAACAACAGAAGTCAGCTTTGCAGGCCAGAAGTTTGACGTCAAGATATTGTCAGGGCCATCCTTCCTTTAGAAACTCTTAGGGAAAATTCTTCCTTGGCTCTTCAAGCATCTGGTGGCTCCTGGCTTGTGGCATCATAACTCCATTCTCAGCTTTCATCTTTACATGGATCTCCACATGGCTTTCTGCCCTTTTCTTCTCTTAAAACGATAACTGTCATTTGGATTAAACACTCAGCCCCAAACCAGGATCTTCAACTTAATTACTACAAGGACCATTTTTTTCCAAATAAGATCCTATTTAAAGTCCTGGGTAGACACATTGTTTTGCCATCCACTACTCAATCCACTATAGGAACTTAATGTCTTCCTATTTACCATTTTACTTTGGCTAAAATCATAATTCTTCTTGTATGGCTTGGGTTTATAAATATCTCCATGAATAGTCAAAAATTGACTTTTATTTTTGTTTTTTATAACTTTTTGTTAATTTTTGGTGATATCCAAAATGGGGGAAAACTTCTGTCTATGTCACTATTTTTAAATGTCCAGTTTCAGTTTTCTTTAACATGTAATTCAACTTTATAGAAGTAATATAAGCAATCAAAGTGACATTAACTTTTTGCATGCAGATTCATCTGCAACTGCATCTGTAATTTCTATTCTCTTTTAGCAAGAATGAAGACAGAGCTCACCACCACTTTTCTGTAACCTTTCCTCCTGGGTGTTTTGACTTTTTGATTTTTCTTCCCTTGTATTTTCAGATTCTCTATCTGTCAAATCCTATACTATTAACACATTATCTTGTCTATTTCCTCTTAAATAACCCTCTGTTTATCTTGAACTACTTCAGTTATGATCCTCTCTTCCTCCTACACTCCAAAACCAAATTTTTAAAATACATTTTTTATACTCACTAGCCATGTTTACATGGCCACTTATAAAAGATACATTCTACCGTTCATTTCCTTTTATTCGTTTGTAGTCCAAATAGTTATTCTAATTAGAAATTCCAAAGAACTTTATAAGAGATGACTAGGTTTTATTATTTTTAATTTTTGCTGTCTGTTTTTCAAAATGAGACATGGACTAGAACAATTTGAAAAGCACTGACTTAACAAATATTGCTTGTCAGGGTAATTTATTTTTGAGAACACTACACATTACATAAGCATTACTATTTTGAGAAAAAAGATGACAAAATATGTATATTCCTATTTTTTTTGTGTTGAGAAGATGGATAGAGCTTAATAAATGTAGCTGTTGTAATGGGACAAAAAATGTCTGAAGACTATGAATTGTCTGCAGTAGAGAAAAAGGTAGTTAGCTGTTATTGTTAAAACCTTTGTCTCTTTGCTCCCATATTTTAAAGCTAACATGTCTTAACAATTTAAACTTTTCCCCAAAGTGAAATTTTGTCTTGATATTATGAATCTCTGAAACATCGTGAAAAGATCACTACCCACTCATCTTTTTAAATTGAATTTTCAAAGAACACAAATCTCTAATTCGTACTCTACCCAGCCCTGGGTCACCAGTTCTCTCAGTTTTACACTTCTGCATTGTTATGTTCACCACTCAAATAATAGGCTCCACATTACCTATCTGAGAGTTTCTGTTTTCTGAGTGATCTTATTTTCCTCCGGCATAAATACCAAAGCAAAAATGTTGACTCTGTACATTGATGGTTATTTTTAACTTTCCGTACTTGAAAGAGATAGTTAAGTGTATGACAAAGTAGCAAAACAAAACAAACAAAGAAAAAAATCACCAAACTTTCCTTTAGCTGGTTAAGTAATAAATGTTTAATGTATTTTCTTACCATTTGCAAGATCTACCATGGGAATCTTAGCATTAATTATTTTTTTTTCTCAGATAATGTATAAAAATGGCAAGAGGTTATTTCAGGGCAGATTTTTGGAAAATATTTTGAATTAGCATAAAGTTAACATTTCCTAAATGATTATTTCAGAAACTAGACCATTAATCTTTAGAAAAGACAAAAAATATATATTGGATATTTGCCTTAATATTATTGGCTTCAGACAGAATTTGGAATAAGAGGCATATTTCTTGGACCAACTTAAACCACTACTATTTATGAGAAACATAAAACTTCATAATAAAACACTCTTACTTTAAGGTAACTCCATTAAATACATTAAAGAGCATTATCTAGAGTTATAAAATAAAATAGCATGAAAAATTAGAGCTGTGTATTTTTGAAGTTAAATCAGAATATTTCTTCTAGAAAAATTTATGGAATTTAATGAAAGGAATAGACTGTAGAGAAAGTATAAATATATAGATGATGAAGTAACAGTTTCATAGGAAAAACATAAAAACTTCTCAAAAATATTCTATAAAAATTATACAGAAAAAAACGTGTCACACAAAGCCTTCAAAACTAAATAAATAGCCTACTTTTAAACTGAACTCAGACTTACATATATGAGTGTGAATGCCACAGCATTGCTACAACAGTGTTAGCAAGTGGGTTGAAATGATAAGAGTTGCTGATAAGGTAGGAGACATACTGACTACCATTAGGAATCTGGGGTGTTGACTTAGAGTTAAGGATTGACTTGTCTAAGTGGGAGTTGTCCTCTTACAGAAAACAGAAAATTAAGACCTATTTCATGGATATCAGCTATAGAAATAAGAACTAAGAATTCATGCTAGCAAAATGCTGAGGTGATGAATCAGGGCTGAAGTCACTGGTACAGCACATCACATTGCAACAAACTGTGTTTGCAGGTGTGCACTCCAGCTCCTGATCAAGGTGGTGAAGGTGCTTATGTTCCCTCTAATATGAAACTGTATGAATAAGTCCACTGCCCAGAGGGACTGGCTCCCTCTCCCAGAATCTAAAATCTTGTCCTACTCTTGGATTATGCGAAGCCTTAGAATGTGATGAGCAGAAAGAAAATCACGTAATTGCTGTCCCTGTCCCTTTATTTTCCCCAATAATACTGTTTCAGGTTCAGTGTTCCTATTTGCTGGTCAGTCAGTCTTCTTTGCTTACCAGTCACTTTCGGAAAGAATGGGGATATGCTTTTGGTGTTCAGTGACTCAGAAATTTTACCTATGATGCATGTCTCGTAAATGAAATGAGAACATGTTAACATGTTAAGATGTTGAAGCAGTTACTGGTTACCGTCATCTTTTCATTACTAGATTTTAAACTCCTAGAACAACAACAACAAAAAAGCCTTATTCATTGAACAAAGTTATTTATTTATTTTCACATTATGCCACTACAAAAATTATTGTGATAGACTCCAAGGTGGCTCCCGATTATCCCTGCTTTCTGTTCATGCTTTTATGTAATCATGCTTTTCCTTGAGTGTGGATGAGATCTGGGATTTATTCCTGTATTAGTCTCTTCTCACACTACTAATAAAGACATACCCGAGACTGGGTAATTTATAAAGAAAAAGAGAGTTAATGGAATCACAGTTTCACATGGCTGAGGAGGCCTCACAATCATGGTGGAAGGCAAAGGAGGTGCAAAAGCACATCTTACATGACAGCAGGCAAGAGAGCGTGTGCAGGGGAACTGCCCTTTAATGAAGCTGTCAGATTTCATGAGATTTATTCACTATCATGGAAACGGCATGGGAAAAACCCACCTCCGTGATGCAATTACCTTCCACCAGGTACCTCCCATGACGTGAGGAATAAAGGAGCTACAATTCAGGATGAGATTTGGTTGGGGACACAGCCAAACCACATCAGTTCCTGACTCACAGAGTAGGATAAAGATGATGGGGCTTGTCACTTTTGTGATTATGTTACCAAAGATTGCAACTTCTGTCTTGCTAGTAGACGCTTAATATTGACTTTTTCTGTCTTTGATGAAGTAAGCCACCATATAGAAAAACATAAGTGATGAGGAATTGAGGGAACCTACAGGTGGCAGCCAGAAAGGAGCTGATATCCTCAGTTGGATAAGACACACTTACTGAATCCCACCAAAACCATTTAAGCCTGGAAATGGGCCCTTCCTCATTTGAGCCTCAACTGAGGCCCACAGCTTTGTTGGCACTGATTTCAGCTTTGTGAGAGAAGCTGAAGCAGAGGACCCAGGCAAACTAAGCCTGGATCCCAGACCCACAAATAATGCAATACTTTATTATGCAGCAATAGATAACTAATGCATCTGTACATATTTAGTCATACTTAGCTCCACTAATTGTGTTTTGTTTGATAAATTGACTGCATTATATTCATACCAACTTTTTAACTTATTGGATGCAAATCAGTAGTCCAATGAGAATATTTGTTATTTAACAAGGTCCTGCATGGAGAGTGTTCCATTCATTTAAACCTAGCAAAGAGCAAAGAACAGCCCTTTGTTGGAATATCAACCATGAAATTTCCAGTATTAGTACTGAGCCTAGTTCTTCCTATTATTCTATAGGAACAATCAGAAATAATGAAGATAACTATGTCTTCCTTCTTAATATTCTATAATTAATCACTCTCTCAATTTGAACTTACCTTAGCACTTAAAAATATTATCCCCATTAAAATAAGTAAGTGCATAAAGCACATGTGGGGATGCCTATAATCCTAGCTGTTTTGGAGACTGAAGCAGGAGAATTGCTTGAACCCAGGAGGTGCAGGTTGCAGTGAGCCGAGATCGTGCCATTGCACTCCAGCCTGGGCAATAGAGCAAGACTCTGTCTCAAAGGAAAGAAAAAAAAAAAGCAAAAGTTGAAGTAATGATAGTCAGTGGAACTATATATACATAGTTCAAACTGGAAGAAGAATAAACAATGTTGTTTGCATCTAGTTTACAGAAACATGAGTTTCTTCTTTTCCTTACCCATTCATCTATCTATATTATTCTTACCACTACTTGAAATTAAAGATACATCACATAACTACATAACTTTAGCTTTGTGCAGTGGCAGTATCATAGCCAATGAGGGTTTATCTAAGGCATAATTATTGCTAATTAAATAATTTTGAATAAAGAATAAAAGAACAGATCTATCTGTCTATCTATCTATGTATCTATCTATCTATCTGGTCACAAACTATGTGTCTGTTCTGGTGGTGCAAAATACTTTGTTTTCTGGAAGTCTCATTCAATATTTACACTTTGGTTCTTGATTTTTTTCCTAAAAGTTTGATGCTTTGAATATTTTATTTTTTTGTTCCCAAAATTATTAAGGCTCGACTGAGGGGACCATATTTATGCTCACACCAGGTCCCTTAAGATTACTTGTACCATTTCTGTGTGTCTGTTCCCTGGTTTTACTTTCCTTCCATTGTTGGAATTGTGTTGCTCAAATTTAGAGAGAACAAGAAGGGCCTGTGAGGTTGCACTGGTGAAGAGGATTGACTGATAACAGTAGTACAAACCCCCAGCTCTGTTGCTTCTCACAATGATAAATTTGAGATGCAATGTATTCATGGAACAACCTACCAGTATCAAGCTGAGAGTGAGACTTTGCCTAAAACTTTGCCTTGTATCACTGCTAGGCTTCGGCTGCTTCCATTTCTGCTTCTTACTCTCCCTTTGTGGTTTTTCCTGGGACTATTTCTTCAATATATTACTTGCATGTAGATACCTCTCTCAGGCTGTGCGTCTGGAAATCTTGACCTAAGACACAAATCATGACTACAACACTCTACTTTGAAAGAGCTTGTCCCATGTCTCTAGATTTATGTTTGTACAGTTGTAAGATTAAAAATAGAAAGAAAGAAACTGTATTTCTACCAAATTAGAATGTACATTCCAAAAAAGCGGGTCCTTTGTCACTATATTATAGGAGGCTACAACAAGACCTGATTCATAGGAGATGCTAAATGAATACTTTTTGAATGAAAGTCTATGCCTAATGAAAACTTTACTAGTCAAAAAAGTGAACTGATATGATTAAAAGACAAAGTAATATTTAATATGAAAAAAGGGAATGCTCAAATATGTTCTTATGTTAATTATCTAATGCATGGTGATATATGTGCATATGTTAATTATTTAATAGAAATTACCCCAAAATTTAGTAGATTAAAAAACAATGATTGTTATTGCTTCTTATGACTCTGTAGCAAAGGAAGTTAGACAGGACACAGTAGGGATCGCTTGCCAGTCTGGAACTTCAGAGAGAAAACTCAAAGATGGGAGCTGGAATTGTCTAAAGGCCCAATCACTTGTTAGAGAGCTTATGTGGCCTGTCAACTGAAACCATCACACATGGACTCTATATGCAGTTAGGACTTCATCAAAATATGGTACCTGCATCCCAAGTACAAACATGTCAAGAAACAGAGAAACAGAAACACACACACACAGAGAGACTGCAGGTAGAAGCCATATAGGCTTTTGGAATTTGTCCTCAAAAATTATACGGCTTCACTTCTGCCATATTGATTGAGACAGCTACAAGGTCCATCCAGGCTTAGAGGAGGTAACAGAGATGTCATCCCTTGATGGGACATGTTAATGTCACATTGTACTTTTAAGGGTATGAAATAAGATACATATTGGTACAGCCATTTTGGGAAGAAAAATCTGCCACAGTGTCTCTAACAATAAAAAGTAAATTATTTATTTATTTATTTAGTAAATGCAGGGAGAAAGATTACTGGCTGGGAAATTAGGCAAGAGATTGGCTTTCTTCTTTAGTATTCCTAATTTACTCTGTAAATTCTATTAATTCAGAGCTTTGTTTTTATAAAAGTTTCTTTCTCTATGTAAGATGAAATGATCCCTCTAGCTCTGGTTCCTAATATATTTCAATATTATCTTTAGTTGAAATGTAGCAGCTAATTTTCAGTATAAAATTTAATAAAGATATTGTAGTCTCATACTTTCTATGGATTTTGTAAATGTGAGTAAAACATTTTCTTAAAGAGGAATAAGATATTTTTCTTATATAATCTGGGTTAAATCACAAGGAAGGCTACAAAATATAGATGGTAATTTATCAGTAGGGTTCTGAAGTCACCTTGCCTGCATTGAAACCCCTGCTCCTTCATTTATTATCTGTTTAAATTGGAAATGTTGCATTTCTGTGTCTTTGTTTTCTCATCTATAATATTGGCACAATAATACTGAATTTGTGGAGTTTCTGTGAGAAGCAAATGAGTTCAAAAAGCGTGACTGGCACATATAATGAAATTTAATATATATTAGCTATCATAAGTATTGTTTTTAAATATTTCACTTGAGTGTACACCACTGTATTAGAAGAGATAGGCAGGTGGCCATTAAAAAGGAAAATGTAGCATGCCCATTAAATTCATAAATAGCACAGTATAAGAGTCTAAGTAGTGATAATAGTTGAATTGGGTTGATTTTGGCTGTTTTCCCCAAAACATATACCCATGTCCTAACCCCTAGAACCTGTGAATGTGACCTCATTTTGCAGATTTAATGCAGTAAGGATTTTGGCATGAGATCACCCTGGAGGATTTGTGTGGGTTCTAAATCTGATGAGAAGTATCTTTGTAGGAGATGGAAGAGAAGACAAAGAGAAGAGGGAGAGAAAAAAAGATGAGAAGGTCATGTGAAAACAAAGGCAGAGACTGGAGTTAGGCAGCTACAAACTAAAGAATGCCTAGAGCTACCAGAACCCGGAAGAGGCAAGGAAAAGATTCTCCCCATAGGCTTTGTAGAGAGCACAGCTTTGCTGACACCGTGATTCTGCACTTCTGGTCTTAAAAAGGGTAATAGAATAAATTTCTGTTGGTTTAAGACACCAAGTTTGTAGCAATTGTTACAGCAGCCCTAAGCAACTAATACAGTGGAAGATCGGGTAATTCTACCCTTCAGTACACACGGGCATATGACACTTTGTCCTCTGTTTTCTTGCCGTCAGTAAAACTGATGACAGGCGACAGCTAGCATTCAATTTCATAGACTGGTAGCTGAATCTGCAAAGCGTTTTTGATTAAACTGCTATGTGTGGCTATCTTTGGACCCAATTTAAAAACTAGAACTTGGGATATTTGTTTTGCCTACAACACAGGTTCTAAATTGTTCTTGGTTCAGTAATTCAACAATAATGGGTAGTGACATGGCATATGGCAGTGAGGGTGCAGGTTGCTTTGAATATGATCTACCTAAGGCATTTTAATATCCCTAAAAGAAATGCTGCTTTTGTTAAAATATTTTTATTTGCCCTTAAGAGAATCAAACATTTGTGAATATGTCTCTAAACTGTTCTTGATCATTCTTTCCTTCCTGAAAGGTAATATGACATTTTAATTTGAAATTAGTTATTAATATTACTAGAACCTGTGCTGCAGAAACTGAGTTGAATGGATGCTATAGATGAGATTTTTTTAACTCATCATTTATATTAATATTTTTAATACATGAATATTACTATCTGAGTGTCCAAATATAGAAGAAAACATTGATGTATATCTCTTCCATACACACACAACTTGTAGTTGAATTTACCTGGATGCATTATTTACAGAGGTTATTTGTAGAATTAGGGACTTTGTTTCCTACATTTCTGATCAATTTACCTTTACATAAAAATCCAGTTAGAAAGCCAAACTGACTGCAGAAAGCCTGTCTGCAAAAATGAATGCTGAAACATGACAGTAGTTTCCTTATGTTACCTTCATTAGATCTTAAAACAACTCTCTGGAAGAGGCTCTGGAAGAGCAAATTTTCAAATCTAATTTCTTACCAACCTTAATTATGAAAGTGTCTATACGTAAACCATTAAAATCATTCTAAATCATATTTAAAAGTAAATGTGCTGTCTTAAATTCCTTAGAGTTTCTTAAATTTATTATTATAAATTGTGAACTAATGCTTGACCTCTTCACTTTTTATTTTGTGTGCTAATAAACAAAAGAGAGAGTAGAAATGTTTTCTGTAATAATTACAGTAAAAAACATTTTATGTGTTCAATAAATATTTGTTAAATAAATGAGAAAAAATAATTCACATAGTTATATCCATAGGGAACTTCAAACTAATTGAACATAAATATATGAATAAGAATTTTAATTTTTGGTTTATAGTAAGAGTTAACCAGGAATGTTAAGATACATTTTTTTTTTATACAGAATGTTATGTTTTAAAATTGTAACAATGTCACCAAAAAGTAAGTACTTTTTTAGATGGTATGGATAGGTTTTTGCAGTTTTTTTCAGTCTTTCCATTTGTGTCCATATTTTACATGTTCTATAATTATTTTTATTAATGAATTTTTAATAGGGATTAATTCTGCAATTCAGTTGGATTGGATATTAAAACAATGTAAAACTAAAAAATAAAGAAAAATGTAGAATAAACCTTTTTTCAATAATAATAACTGAAGATTTATGTTAATCTCTTAGGCTTTTCAAATTAATATACTCTCATTTTGTCTTTAATCAAAGGATTAATTTTCTTTAAAACCATAGTCATAGTTCTGACTTAGGAACATTATTAGAAAAATATCTGTTTTTAGGACCTGGGTGTGATTGCTCATCCCTGTAATCCCAGTACTTTGGGAGGCTAAGGTGGAAGGGTTGCTTGCAACCAGAAATTAGGGACTGCAGTGAGCTATGATCATGCCACTGCACTCCAGCCTGCGTGACAGAGGAAGACCCTGTCTCTTAAAAAGATGATAAATAAATAAATAAATAAATAAATAAATAAATGGAAAAAAAGAAAAAGAATATTCATTTTTTTAGCATTAGATTTTTTTTAAACAGAGCTTAGGTTAAAAGTTTTAAAGTGAGGCCAGGCACGGTGGCTTACGCCTGTAATCCCAGCACTTTGAGAGGCCGAGGTGGGTGGATCATCTGAGGTCAGGAGTTCAAGATGAGTCTGACTAACATGGTGAAACCCCATCTCTACTAAAAGTACAAAAATTTGCTGGGTGTGGTGGTGGGCACCTGTAATCCCAGCTAGTGGGGAGGCTGAGGCAGGAGAATTGCTTGAACCTGGGAGGCGGAGGTTGCAGTGAGCCGAGATTGTGCCACTGCACTCATGCCTGGGCAACAGAATGAGATTCTGTCTCAGAAAACAAAAACAAAACAAAACAAAACTTAAAATGGTAGAACTTCATA